CTTTCAAGAAATTATCAAGGAAAACTGCCCTGAAATTCTGGAACCAGAGGGTAAAATAGAAATTGAAAGAATCCACTGATCACCTGTTGAAAGAGATCCCAAAAAGAAAACTGCCAGGAACATTATAGCCAAATTTCAGAACTCCCAGGTCAAAGAGAAATTGTTTCAAGCAGCCAGAAAGAAGCAATTCAAGTATCATGGAGCCACAATCGGGATAACACAAGATTTAGCAGCTTCTACATTAAGGGATCAGAGGGCTTGGAATATGATATTCTAGAGGGCAAAGGAGCTAGGATTGCAACCAAGAATCACCTACCCAACAAAACTGAGTATAATCCATGAAGGGAAAAAATGGACACTCAATGAGATAGAAGAATTTCATGCATTCTTGAGAAAAGACCAAAGCTAAATAGAAAATTTGACTTTCAAATACAAGACTCAACAGAAGTATGAAAAGGTAAGCAGGAAAAAGAAATCATAAGGGACTTATTACAGTTAAATGGTTTACATTCCTACATGGAAAGATGATATTTGTAACTCATAAGACCTTTTTCATTATTAGGGTAGTTAGAAGTAGTATATATAGACAGAGGACACAGATGTGAATTGAATATGAAGGGATGATATCTAAAAAATAAGGGGTGAGAGAGGAATGTATTAGGAGAAAGAGAAAAGGAGGGGTAGAATGGGGTAAAGAGTCAAGAAAAAGCTTTAAGAGTAGAGGAGAAGAGGGGTGGTGAGAGGGAGTGAGTGAATCTTTCATCAGAATTGGCTTTAAAAGGAAATAACATACGCACTCATTTAGGTATAGAAATCTATCTTAGGCTACAAGGAAGTCAAAGGGAAGGGGATGGGAGGTGGGGGGAGGAATGATAGAAGGGAGGGCAGATTGGGGGAGGGGCTAGTCGGAAGTTAAACACTTCTGAGGAGGGACAGGGTGAAAGAAGAGAAAGGATAGAATAAATAGGGGGCAGGATAAGATGGAGGGAAATATAGTTAGTCTTTTACAACATGACTATTCTGGAAGTGTTTTGTGTGACTACACATGTATAACCTATATCAAATTGCTTGCCTTCTCAATGAGGATGGGTGGGGACGGAGGAAGGGAGAGAATTTGGAACTCAAAGTTTTAAAAATTTTAAATTGTTTTTACATGTAACTGGGAGAAAATAAAATACTAAATAAAATTTTTTTAATTTAATATAATCAAAATTGTCCATTTTACATTTCATAATGCTCTCTGTCTTGTTTGGTCATAAATTCTTTTCTTCTCCATAAATCTGACAGGTAAACTATTCCTTGCTCTCCTAATTTGCTTATGATATCACTGTTTATGTCTAAATCATATCCCCATTTTGACTCTTGGTATCAGCACTATATTTGTGTTGCAATAGGAATTTGGTAGGACTCTTTTCTTCAACTATTTTTCCATATAGTTTATATAGTATTGCAGTTAATTGTTCTTTAAATGTCTGGTAGAATTCACTTGTGAATGCATCTGTCCCTGGGGATTTTGTCTTAGGGAGTTCATTGATGGCTTGTTCAATTTCTTTTTCTAAGATGGGGTTATTTAAGTATTTTAATTCCTTTTCTGTTAATCTGAACAATTAATTTTTGTAAATATTATCCATTTCACTTAGGTTGTTAGATTTACTGGCATATAATTGAGCAAAATAGCTCCTAATTATTGCTTTAATTTCCTCTTCGTTGGTGGTGAATTCAGCCTTTTCATTTTTTGATACTGACAATTTGGTTTTCTTCTTTCTTTTCTTTTTAATGAAATTAACCAATGGTTTATCTATTTTACTGGATTTTTTTATAAAACCAGCTCCTAGTTTTATTTATTAATGGAATGGTTTTCTTTTAATTTTATTACTGTCTTCTGTGATTTTCAGAATTTCTTGTTAGTTTCACCCTACCAGCTTAGCCTGTTTAGATACTTCTCGATCTTGTATCTGTCATTAAGTATCTTAGTTCTCTTTCCAATTCTAAGTACCCACTGATTTAGTAAGCATGCCACCTAGATCATCACTCAGAAGGAGAAACAACATTAACAAATTCTAGAATAGGCCAGCAACCCATATTTGTCTGTGGTATTCCCTCTGTCTTTTACCTCTACATACCCATATATAGCCTCTGGTCATACACATGTGGACAAATTTGTCTTTGTCTTGGTTTATGTGAGAAAAAAATCAGGTTTTTAAGTTTTACAGACTAACTAAGAGAAATATAAAATAAAACAATATGCAACAATAATAAGTATCATTCTTTAAGGTTTACAAAGTGCTTTACAAATATCATCTTTTATCCTCATGACAACAATGGGAGTAAGTGCTATTGTTATCCCCATTTTACAGGAAACTGAGGCAAACAAGAGGTTAAGTGACTTGCCCAGAGTCACACAGCTAGTCTGAGGCTAAATGTGAACTCAGATCTTCCTGACTCTAAGTCCAGAGATCTGTGGGCTGCATCACTTAAATTGCTGAGGTCAGAGAGCGTAGGAATCTTACATTACTAGCTATAAATTGGCTAGGACAGCTCAAAGGTGACATCTTGTTCCATCTACTATATTGCTGCAGGCTGAAAATGGAACCAATGAGTGAAGTGAGCAGAACTAGAACACAGTACACAGTAACAGCAACACTGTGTAATGAACAACTTTGTTAGACTTAGCTTTTCTCAGCAATGCAATGATCCAAGATGATTCCAAAAGACTTGTGATGGAAAATGCTACCTACATCCAGAGAAAGAACTAGGGAGTCTGAATGCAGATCGAAGCATACTATTTTCTCTTTCTTTTGTTTTTTTTTTCTTTCTCATGGTTTTTCCTTTTGTTCTGATTCTTCTTTTACAATATGACTAACGTGGAAATATGTTTAGTATGATCATACATGTATAGCCTGTATCAGATTGCATGCCATCTTAGGGAGGGGAGGAAAGGAAGGGGGAAAATTTAGAACTCAAAATCTTACAAAAGCAAATGTTGAAAATTAAAAATTAATTAATTGGGGAGAAAAGACCCCCCCCCCAAAAAAAAGAAAGAAAGAAAATGGAACCAACCTGAAGTATTGCTTAGCCAAAGTAATGGGGCAGACACACAGACTGTGAAACCATAAAGCAGATTACTGGCCATGGTTCTGACTTATGTCCCCCCTCCTCCCCCCAGGGGTTTTGACAGCTACATACCAAGGATAAACGGTAACAGCTCACATTTATTTATATAGGCTTTAACCCTATGAAATAGGTAGTACAAATATTAGTATCTTTCCACTGTTGTAGATAAGGAATTAATGAATCAACAAGCATTTATTTATTGAACACCTACTGGGTGCCGGGTACTATGCAAATACAAAACATGAAACAGTCCCTACTTGCAGGAGGACAGACTTGCCTAAACACAGAGCTAGGAAGCCAATTCACATCAACTGACTCTCAGTCCAGTCTCTCTTGATTGTGGAGGTAGGGCACACCATGTGATTTCCTTAGGCCTGTACCGTCTCACAATATTGCTGCCTTCATGGGTCTCTTTAGTATTGCTCATCAAAGCTAAAGTTAGAAATGACTGAGGGACAGGCAAACTTTTGGGCAGCTCCAGTCCTGGGAAACACCTCCTCTCAAATAACTTCTTCACCTTCTGGTCCCCTTCTCCTTTAGGGGCCAGGCCCTGCGACCTCCTTCTACCCTCTGGCTGTCCATAACCCCCAAAGATGTCTTCCTTTGGAGAGTCTCATTGAGTCTCCATGTCTCCTTTAGATTCCATGCCTTTCCTTTCCCTATCAAATCATTATTGAACTTGGCCCTTGCAGCAGAAATTGACTATGCTACCTATGAACCAGTGGTTGCAACTGAGGTCTGTGAAGGAAGATCCATGTATTTCTATCTAGAACATGAGAGAGGCATAGACTATAAGAATCAGCATAGGGACCCCACCCTTTGGTTGTTGTTTCTGCTAGCCTAGTCAGTATGAAGATGGTTATTTCAGAGCTTGCAATTCTAGGCCCATATTCAGAGAGCAGGTTATTGCAGAATTAACTGCCTCAAGGGACCCTTCCCCTCTAATATCTGGCAATTCTCTCCTTCATGTGACATAATGGAAAAAGCACTAAATTGAGAATTGGGAGATATGAGTTTGAATCTTGCCTCTGGACCTTACTAGCTATGTATACAATTAGTACATTATTTAATCTTTCTTAGCCTCAGTTTCTTCATCTATGAAATAGGCATATTGGTTGCATGATGTAACCTATTGTGAGGAAAGCATTTTGTAAATTTTAAAATTCTGTGTAAGCATAAATTAATATGGTTGTGAATCATGTTTTCTACCCTGGCACTGAAACAGCTGCTAACACATCAAACCAGAATAGGCATGTTGTGTATTCCAGAGGACAGGGTCCACTTCTCATTCCCCATTGGTCTGTGTGTCTGTTTGAGACTAGAAGGAACTGGAGCTTGAGATAGTCACGTCATTGGTGGGTAGATGACCTGGGATCAAAGTTGCCTCTGTATCCTAAGTTCTAAGATGTTTGCTACTCAATTATGTGGCTTTGTCATCACATTTTTGATAGTCTAGCCTATACCTACCATGTCTTGTGTGAATAAGCTGCACTGTACTTAGGAAAGTAGTAACTTAAGCAGGCTTAATTTTCAGGTGGTCATAGAGATTAGGAATATAGGAGGGAGAAAGACCCAGAATTGGGGTGCAGCCTGGCCCTCCAAAACTGAATGTGCTCCTTAAGAGCTCACGCAGAACAACATTTCAGGGGGCAGTTAAGTGGAGCAGTGGATAGAGCACTGGCCCTGGATTCAGAAGGACCTGAGTTCAAATCCGGCCTCAGACACATAACACTTACCTAGCTGTGTGACCCTGGGCAAGTCACTTAATCCCCATTGCCCAATCAAAAAAATAAAATAAAAAATAAAAAAAAAAAAACCACTTCAGCCTAGGTGGGTCTCCAGTGCTCATTCCTAATGCTTGTGGCTCTCTCCTTTCTTTTCTCTAGGAGAACTGGTATATCAGGCACAGTCTCCAGATGAAGGAGCCCTTGTCACTGCTGCCAGAAATTTTGGCTTTGTGTTTCGCTCTCGAACGTCTGAAACAATCACTGTAGTGGAAATGGGTGTCACAAAAGTCTATGAGCTCCTAGCTATCCTGGACTTCAGCAATGTACGAAAGCGGATGTCTGTGATTGGTAGGTGCCCTGGCCCGCTATCACATATATTCTGTGGGTCTGTCTTTGTTCCTCTCCCACGCACACATACACTCCAGAGCTGCCCCACGCCTTGGTACTCCAGATAGCAACATTAGCCCTGTTATTCTCAGAGGCAAGTCATCCCTTAAGTTCAAATTTTCAGGCTCCTCACAAAGCAGAGAGAAAAGCTGGAGAAGCACATATTCTGGAGGATGATGGGTAGCTCTCTACTTTCTACTCTCAGTAAACTCAGACATCACTCTGGATTTTGAAATTGATGGCTTGGGACTAAGACTTGCCATGCATTCTTGAGTCTTTTGAAGGATGAGACTCCTTAGTACCATTAAGTAATTCACTCCCCATGAGATGGCAGTGCACCTGCGGTACCCACCAGGGGCCAAAGCTGTGACCATATTTACTTTTCTCATAGGTGTGTCAGAGGGACGGCACTAGATCTCATAGCCAGCAGCCTTCCCCCTCTTCCTTCCCAGAAGGGTGACTCCTTAGCACACCAGAACTTGGATCATGATGGCCCTTGTTTTACTTGTTCATAGTGCAGACACCCGAAGGTAAGATGATGCTGTTCTGCAAGGGAGCTGACACCATCATCTGGGAATTGCTCCACCCATCCTGCATACCCCTCCAAGATGTGACCATGGGACACTTGGATGTGAGTATAGCTGGATGGATCATGTATGCATCTGAGTGTCTGTACATATCTGTGCATATGCATATTTTGGGGAACTGGTGAGTCTGTGTCCATGTATACTTGTATAAATAGATAGGTATATTTATAAGTGTATATATGTATGTATGCATATATGTATGATACCTATATATCTGTTCGTGTATGTCTGAATATGAGCATATTTTTGCAGTTCTGTGTATGTCTGTGTTCATTACTCCTTGTGCTTCTGTGTCTGCATAGCCATACATACATCTCTCTGTGTGTTATGGGAGTGAGGAAGACCAAACAAACTGAGCCTTTCCAACTCTTTAATTTTGTAAAAAGCAGGGTGAGAGCACAGTTCAATTCAGCAAATATTTCAGCGTCATGTGAAGAATATTATAGAAGGCACTGGGGAAGATACAAAGATGAATAAGCTCTGATTACTGCCCTCAAGGAGTTTATAATCTATTAGAAGAACATCAGTAACTGAGTTCCTAGGGCAGACCCTCACATACTGAGAAGCACTGGGACTAAAACTTGGAGTGAGGAAAATGTCTTCAGTAGAGGAAAAGAGTAGTGTCTGAAGGTGTGTATGCCCAAGTCATATTTGCTCTGCTTGCTTCCCACTAGGAGGTTAGGGACCGAGTCTCAAAGGGAATTTTACTATCAATCTCCTATTTTCGCAAAGGCTGTCCTATATACTTCTGCTTTGGGTACACACACACACACACATACACACACACACACACACACATACACACACACGAGAGACATACTTCTCCCAGTTGGTGCTAAGCAAGGACATGAGCCTCTTATATGTGTGTATAGATGAGTATGTGTATATATCCCTATCAGCAAGGAAAAGGGAGTGTAACTAATCCTTTACTTCTCTTCACTCTTTTCTATGCTTTCCCTTAGGATATCTTTTTATGACTTAACTACCCTTCAAGGCTACCACTGAAGTTCACTTTAACCTGATTTTACTTGTATGAAGAGGTAGGAAATACTGATTTCCTTAAGCCTGCACCCCTTCACAATAGTCCTGCTGTCATGAATCCAAATATAGGATTGATAATCAGATATAAGGTTAGAAATGACTGAGGGACAGGCAAACCTTTAGGCAGCTCCAGCTCTGAGAAACATGTCCTTCTCATATAACTGTTCCACCTTCTCCTTCAGGGGCCCAGCTATCTCTTTCTACTCTCTGGCTGCCTATAATTCCCAAAAATACCCTACCATATCTCTTCTAAATTCTGTGCCTTTCCCTTCCCTATCAAATCATTATTGAACTTTTCCCTTGCTTCCCTTTCATTAATAATATTCAGGTACCCACTAGAAATCTCCAGGGAGTCCTCAAAATGTCCTAATGAAATTTTCCTTATTAATATACACTATGGTCCACAAGGCTACCTGATCAATGAAATAACTGAGAAGGAATCTTGCTTTCAGATTACCTGTACTGAATTTTGTAGTCTAGAAGAGTACAAATAACCATAGTTGAGGCAAGAAACTGGAAAGTTCCCCATAGTTCCTAGAAATTTTGTCAGGGAGATGCTGGGCCAAGATTCAGTGGACTGAGGTGGGCTGGAAGAATGCTTAGATCTGAAATCAAAGGGTGTGTATGTTCATTGTCATGTGGATTCAGCTGTTTACAAGGTGGGGAACACCAGCAGAATGCTGTCCACAGCTTGAAGTGTGGGTAGAATGACCAAGAAGGTGAAGATTCACCTGACACACTAAAGCTCAAAAAGACATCAGTACCTTCACTGCCTGAGCAAGTCAAAATAGAAAAATATACTTTTTTATGAGTCAAACACAGAAACAGGCCAAACGGGCAAGAAAATTTAGAAGGACCAGGATGCTGCATATCTAGAGGTAGTACATAGTGGACACTATCTTTTTGAATTCCTGGGGAATTTGCATGAGGATAAATTGGAAGAATCAGGGCTAGACAGGGCAGAATGAGGACAGTCAAGGGCAGCTTTCCTTCTGATTGAGCTTCTGCCTTTCCAGAAGATCTGCTGTAGCTTCTGCTGCTGATACCTCAATTACACAGGAGTCATAGTTCTTGGCTCTGCAGGACTAAGCTGTTGAGGGAGACACAAAGCAGAGTCATCTTCACTTGGCTGCCTTATTTTCCCTGGCAGGGTGGCATTTTCCCCTGTTCCTGTTTTTGCCCTCTGAGCCACACATAACACATATGAACTCTCTTCTATATGACAGTTATTCAGAATTTTTATAACCTATAATACCCACCCACATAGTCTTCACTAGACTAAATATACCCAATTCCTTAATCTGATCCTTAGATGTCATGGTTAATTTCTTTATTCAGTCCCCAGCCTTCAAAATTAGGAGTATAGCTTTTAGCAGCTATTGGGCTGTACTCCATTCAGCTCTATGGATCAGGAAGCTGAGGCACAGGAAATGGAGGGCTCTGGCTTCTTTATTAGTTATTGTGAGAACCAGGACTAGACCTGAAGCTTAAGAATTAGTGGAGCCTCAGGTTAGCCTGTACCAAGGCCACAGCTGATGTGTCATACATTGCTGTGGGAAAGTAATTATTGTGAGGTTATTGTTGAGCCTTGAGTTACAGTGGTTTCCATGACCTTAGATTCATCATCCAAATGAAAGGCATTTGAAAGCTCAGGCTATCATCTCCAAGGAAATGAACTTCATTTTCAGATTATGAAGGACAGCATGTAATTCACACTGTGGGCATATGCAGGTGTTTGGTTAATTCATATCCTGATGTAAAAACACAGCCTTGGGCTCCAGCCAGCACTTTACAAGGCTGTGAGCATAGCGAAATAAATTGTGAGTCAGGGAGGGAATGGCAGCAAGGCAGCACCTCTATCCCCTAACTGAATATTTGTTATGAAAATTCACAAGTAGGAGGTGCAGTCAGCATGTCACTCTATATGCATGCCTGTATCAGACATCAGTATGTTGTCAGTCCCATATAGAACCCATATTTAGGTCGATTGCAGAACTAGTTTTTGCCACCATCATTACTTACTTCCCAGGTAAGTTTCCTCTAGGCCTGCACTTTTTCCCTGCTTTATCACCTCTCTACCCAACAATACGGGGATGCCAGAGAACTCTCAATGCCTACAGGCTTCATATCTTTATTGCCACAGAGTTAAAGCCATACACCCACAAATGTCCACCGAGAAGAAAGTACACTTAGCAAATTAACGTATTGTGCTTCTGTTTGCCCTGTTTTGGTAAAGTTAATGTTTTCCAGTTCAGCACAACAGAACTAACGTAGAAATGTGCTCATGTACGTTTGCTGTTCTCTTATAAAAAAAGATGATACACAGGATACGTATTTTGATTTGTGGCTCCACTGGTGGGGATCAATAGCACTGAGCTGCATCCATTCTTGTCCCGTTATCTTTGTGACCAAGGGCCCACATTTGCAAAATAGTTGACAGGGGGTAGGGATCAGTCTAGGAGCAGATTAAGTCTAACTGGATAACACAGGAATTAAATCCATGAGCTTGGTCTTGTTAGTATCATTCTCAAATCAACTGAGATAATTAACCATATACATCTAAATGTGTCTTATGTGTATAATAGACACTCCTTTTTTAAATAGTTGCCCATAAACCTGAATATTAGTATTATAATATCAGTGGCAACACATCAGATTCTATAATATCTTTCTTCCCGAGAGGTTGGTAGGGAGAATTAAAATCCTCAAGCTGACTGACACTAATCCAGGGACTCTATTCATCAAGCATGCAATCTTTCTTTCCTCCGGCTGAGGAGGAGAAATCCTGGCCCTTGATCGTTCCTACACAAAGGACTCGGTTCTTTCCTGACCTTCTCTGGAAACACATATGTCTTCCAGGAATTTGCCAGCGATGGCTTGCGTACGCTTGCTGTGGCCTTCCGAGAGCTGGATGAGAAAGTATTCCAAAGCTGGAGCCGAAAACACTATGAAGCCAGCACTTCCATGGAAGATCGGGAGGAAAAATTAGGACTAGTCTATGAAGAGATTGAAAAAGACATGATGGTTGGTCTGAGGGAGCAGGGACTGGACTTCTCCTGGGAAGGAAGGCTCAAGGGTCAGGGGAGAAATGGCTGTAATCTGTCAGGTCCGTGTAACAGGAGTAGGAAGACAAGAGAAGGGGTCACTACTTACATGAGTTATCTCAATACCCTAGTCACCTCAGGCTTTCCATTTCCTCATCTGTGAAATTAAGGGGTTGTATACTACATGATCCCTAAGATCTCTTTTGGCTCTAACACTCTGATTCAATGATTCCTTTTTTGTTTTGTTTATTTATTTATTTATTTTTGCTTTTTCTAGGCAATTGGGGTTAAGTGACTTGCCCAGGGTCACACAGCTAGTAAGTGTTGTGTGTTATGTGTCTGAGACCATATTTGAACTCAGGTCCTCCTGACTCCAAGGCTGGAACTCTATCTACTGCGCCACCTAGCTGCCCCATTCAGTTATTTCTTGACAAAGCCACTACAATGAAAAGTTCTGGGAAAATATCAGAAAAGTACTATCCCCTAAATCTAAACGATTTCAGAATTTCTTGAATAATTGAAATCCTCAGATGATCTACTCACTTTAATTCTGAGTTTTACTCCTTTTCCCTACTAGGTTATTTCCTAACCATAGCACCTCTGGCTCCACTTGGCTCAGTGGATAGAGCACCAGCCCTGAAGTTGGGAGGACCTGAGTTCAAATCCAGCCTCAGACCAAATACTTGACACTTACTAGCTGTGTGACCCTGGGCAAGTCACTTAACCCCAATTGCCTAAAAATAAAAAAAACAAAAAACAAAGATGTTGTCTTTGGGGGCAGCTAGGTGGCGCAGCGGATAGAGCACCGGCCCTGAAGTCGAGGACCTGAGTTCAAATCCGGCCTCAGACCAAACACTTGACATGTACTAGCTGTGTGACTTTGGGCAAGTCACTTAACCCCAATTGCCTCACTTAAAATAAATAAATAAATGAGGAAAAGACAGGCTAAGAGAACTTTAAGGACTTGGCCAACATCCCACAGCTAGTAAATGGCAGAACCAGGTTTTTGGAATGCAATCTAGTGTTCATTCCACTTAAACCATCATGTGTGTGATGTGAACTGAATGTGTGTTGAACGTTTTGAGAAACAGATGTATTTTAAGAAGATGTATATTAAGGAACAGATGGTATGTGTTAAGCAATTCATTCTGAGAAGTAGACGTGAAAATGTTATTTGTTGAAGAGCAAAAATGATCAAATGAAATAATATCTTAAAATGCCTGGCACATAGTAGATGCTATATAAATGCTATCTATCATTATTATTATTAAGCAGATGTATTGAGAAGTGGTACATATTGGTCATTGAATTGAATTCTATACCACTGGACGTGTCCCAATTTCCCCAGAGTAGCCATTATGCAGGATCTCTAGGAGATCCAAATCTAGTGGGCCAGCCTTTTCAACAGTTATGTTTCAGTTGGTAAATAAAACTGAACATCTTAGTGCCCTACCCTTATAACATGTAGCTGTATACCAATGAATATAATTTAAACCAAGATGACCAGGGTATAGAATGTCAAAGGATGGAGGCAAACTGATTTAAAACTTTCAAGCAGACTGGTCTATGGGAGTTGGGGTAAGAGAATCCTTGCTTGATCTCAGTGAAACAGAACTTAGACAGATTAAAGTGACCTAGAATGAATTCAGACCTGCTTTTTTATTTCCAGCTGCTAGGGGCCACAGCCATTGAAGACAAGTTACAAGATGGAGTGCCTGAGACAATAGCCACTCTGATCAAAGCAAATATTAACATGTGGGTTTTGACTGGAGACAAGCAAGGTAAAGACAGCCTGCAGGCTTACAGTGAGTGGCTTCCCGCCCCAGCTCCCTCCAAAGCTCTAACCTTCAAATCACTCCATCCTTACTAAGGGCCTACTGTTCCTCAGCTGTAAATTCCACCGGCAGGGTGAAACAAAGGCCCAATCTGATTTGGGAGACAGGACTCATCCTCATGGAATAGAAAATAAAACTATGGTCTCATGGGCAGAGGTTCTGCATTTCTACCTGTCTGTCAGACAGCTCCACCTGGATGTCCTACTCTCACCTCAAAGCCAAAATATACAAGATCTAATTATCATCTTTATCAACACATCCCCCCCTTCGCCAATCTGGCATCTTCATAACCTCCTCATTTTTCTCTTCCACCACCATTCTTGCAATCACCCAGCCTTAAAAATCTGTTATCTTTGACTCCTCCCTCGCTCTAATCCTGCCCAGCTTGCTCACCAAGTCCTGTCAATTTTTCTTTAAAATGTCCAATATCCATACCCTTCTTTTCCATTCCCATTATCACTACCCTGGTCACAATCCTCATCACAAACTTTTTGGATGATTAACACCCTGACAAGTATAAGGCTGCTTTAACTGATTTTTACAACTTCACTCTTCCCAAAGCAGAGCTTTCTGTTGGGGTAAAAAAAAAAAAATAGACTCCTCACTCTACATTTCCAGCTCAGCCAAGCTGTTGTTCCTTATTACTTATAATTGAAAGAAGACACACAATTCAATTGGTTCAGAGGAAAGATAGAGGAATTTATAGACAAAAGGGCTTCAGGGGAAGTCAGGCCAGGAGGTATGGGAGGTGCTCAAGGATGAAATTCTGAAGACAGGGAAATTGTTCCAGTGACCTGGAAACATGTGATTTGTCCAAAGATACCAGTGTGGATGCACAAAGAAGTCACCAGACAACTTAGATTTTTTTTTTTAAATGAGGCAGTTGGGGTTAAGTGACTTGCCCAGAGTCACACAGCTAGTGTCAAGTGTCTGAGGTCAGATTTGAACTCAGTTCCTCCTGACTCCAAGGCTGGAGCTCTGTCCACTGTGCCACCTAGCTGCCTCAACAACTTAGATTTTCAAAAGAAATGTACAGAAAATGGGAGCAAGGCAAGGGAACAGAGTAGAAATAGAAGAATGTGTGCAGTCCTATAAAAATGTCAGGAATACTATAGCTCAGAAAGCAGAAGCTGGTGAGGGAAGCTAATGAAAACAAAAGGTGGGGTTTTTGTTTTGCTACATTGGTGGGAAAAAGAAGATCAAAAAAGGGACAGGGCCTTAATTTATTAACTGGCAAGACACAGAAGGCAATGCTGCTCAATTTTTATTTTGTTTCTATTTTCTTTGCGAAGGAGGATGATCTTTACACTGGAAATGACTAAACAAAAGTAACTAACAGGGAGTTAATAGTCAAGATAAGTGTTGAAGAAAAAAAGACACATAGATGTCCTATACTCTTGTGTTTCAGGCACAATTCTACCAGAAAGAATTTTTATTCAATTTAACTTAATTCTAAATCTAAGCCATATCTAACTTATAGAGAGAAATAAGCAAACTGGTATTGTCCCTGCACCACCCCACCTACCCTCTATGCCCTCATACATGTCTACCTCAAGATGATTTGAAACATTTATATGAATCTTGAACAAGGAAAAGACTAAAATATGTTAAAATATCATTTGGGGTTAACATTCCAGAATAATAGCCACTACACTACCTAATTCCTATCTCAGCTCTTCTCTAAGATTGTTAGGCAATTTTCTAAATAATAGAAGAGAGCATTTCCCTAGGGTTGGTCACAGCTTCTTTGCTTCAGGGAATGGAGAAGACAAAGTCTAGAGATAAGTAATCACCTTTAATCCATTTAAGAGAAAGGCCTTAACTTCTATTTTACCCACTTCCCTAAAAGGGAAACATTTGGAAAGGCTTTTTAAACTAGAGAAAATATTATTTCTTAATATTTTCAATTGAAATAAAAATGTTTTAACATGCTTCCATGATAAATAAGGAAATAATAAGAGAGCACCCCTCTACCTTTGATGAATTCAAGTCACCTGGCCCAGATCAACTATATCCTTGGTGTGATGGGTGAAATCTGAAATAACTGAGGATTGAGCTTCTGAGCATATCAATTTATTAAGCAACACATGACAATTGCATAACAAATTGGGACCAGGCCTTCCTCAGCTTGGCATTCAACCCCAGATACAGGGAAAGACATTTTTATGCATTAAAAGAACATGATCAACAAGATATAAACCAGGATACAAATTAGGTAATCTGATTGCTAATTGGAGGAAAGATTAGGGGCTTTCTGAGTTGGGAGGACAGCAAATAGGTACAATTCCCTGAAATCAAAAAAAGAGGTGCCCCATTCCCTCTCAAGTGACTATTCGATCAAAGGAACAAGAAAATAGTAATTGATTGACCAGTACAGGGACAGTTTTCAGATAAGACATATGAGTTGCTTGAGATGTCGTTGTATCAATATTCAGATCTGACTGGGTTTCTGGTCAGCATACTCTAGTTCCTTAGGGTTCTCAGCCATGCAGCATAGGTTCAAACAGTACAATAAAGTTTTGTCACAATTCCCATAACTGAATAACGTTTTCTCACAAGACAGAAATTGGACTAGACCCATAACTGAATAGAAAGGGTACCAAGCTAGATCCAGGATCAAGTCATGAGTTGGTGTGGTTCACTCAGTTCCCACATTGGGTACTGAATGAACTGCCACATATGAACACTGAGCTGTTGTCAATATACATGAAATATCATGGAAAACAGGAGTAGCATCACAAGATTCAAGAAGGGCAAATATCTCAATTTTCATAAAAGGAAAAATATCAGAGTCTGCAGACGTTAGGCCAGTGAACCTAATTTTGATTCTTAAAAGATAGTATCACTAAAGAGAGATGACTGGCAAATATCTAGATAGGATTTCAAAGATTTAGAATTAATCATGCTTGATTGACCTCATTTTCTTTTTTTCACAGTATTGTGGGGCAGCTGGGTGATTCAATGGATAGAGCTTTGGCCTTGGAGACAGGAGGACCTGAGTTCAAATCCGACCTCAGACACTTGACACTTAAACTAGCTGTGTGACACAAGTAGCTGTGTGACCCTGGGCAAGTCACTTAACCCGAATTGCCTTCCCCAAAAAAAAACAAAACAGTATTGTTAACCTAGTAGATGAGCAGAATGCAATAGATAGTTTACCTAGATTTTAGCAAAGTTTTTTTTTTATGAAGTACCTCATACTGTTGTGGAAAAGATGAAGAGATGTGGATAAGATGATAGTATTAGATAGATTTAGAACTTATTTGGAAGACTAAAATCAAATAGTAATTAATAAATTAATGGTTCAATATCAGCATAGGAGGAGATCTCCAGTAGAGTACCTTAGGGATCTGGACTTGGGTCTGCGCTGTTTAACATTTTTAGTAGTGGCTTAGGTAATGCATATTTGGTATGCTCATCAGATTTGCAGGTGACACAAATCTGGAAGAGAGAGCTAACATATTGGATGACAGAGTCAGGATCCCAAAGAATCTTGACAGACTATACCATTAGGCTGAATATAAAAAGATCTAATTCAATAGGAATTAGTATAAAGTTTTGCACTTAGATAGAAAAACATCTGCTTCACAGCATGAGATAGGAGAGGTAGCAGTTGTTCTAAAAAAGATCTGCAGGTCTTCATGGGCTAAAAGCTCAGTAGCCAGCGGTGTAAGATGACAGCCAAAAAGCTAATGCAGTTTTGGGCTGCATTATGAGGAGCACAGCTTCCAGGCAGAAGAAAGTGATCCCTCCTTTGATATTTTCATGCCCATGCTGGATGACCACTTGTTGGCTATGTCATAGGAGGGATTCCCATCAAGGATGGTTTGAGCTAGGTTGCTGCTGAAGGTCCCTTCCAACTTTCAAATTCTATGATACCGTGCAACATTAAAAGAGAACATAGTCTTCATGTCATGAAGAAGCAATTCCATCTTGCTGATCAAGGCAGGGCATTTTTTTTTTTTTATAATCTTAGGGAAACAAAATCAAATGAGCATGGCATAAGGTTAGCAGGGAGAACAAGGAACAAAATTAGGAGACAGTTGAGGGTATAAAGTGCTGGAAGAGTCAGGAATGCTCAGGGGCCTAATAGGGTTTTTTGAATATTCTGAAAAAGGTAAAATGTATAAAACTGTGTCTACCCTTTGACCCAGTAATTCCACTATTAGGTCTTTTTCCCAAGGTGACCAGGAAAAAAGGAAAAGAACCTATATGTTCTAAAATATTTATAGCAGCTCTCTTTGTGGTGGCAAAGAACTGGAAACTGAGGAGATACCTATCAATTGGGGAATGGCCAAACAAGTTGTGGTATGTGATTGTGATGGAATACTATTGTGCTATAAGAAATGAGCTGGTTAACTTTAGAAAAACATGGAAAGACTCGTATGAAATAATGCAGAGTGAAATGAGCAGAACCAAGAGAATGTTGCATATGGTAACAAACAATATTGTTCAAAGAACAAAAGTGAATGACTTAGTTATTCTGATTATTATAAATACTCAAATCAGCTACAAAGGACCCATGAAGGAAGATACTGTCCACCTCCAGAGAAAAAATTGATAAACAGAAGTTGCATAGTATGGTTTTACACTTGTGTGTGTGTGTGTGTGTGTGTGTGTGTGTGTGTGTGTAATAGTGGCCTTCTCTAGTGCAGGATGGGGAGAGACTGAGGGAGACAGTTCAAAACTTAAAATGTAACCAGAAAAAATACATTTAATTTAAAAACAGAAAAAGATAAAATAATTTAACAGTTTATTGATGATAACAAATTGACAGGTGCCTTTTCATTGTTCTGCTTGGATACAGCATACTTTCTAATGGGAATGTATTTCCTTATAGTTTTTTCAAATTAGCAATACCTAGTCTTCCTATAGCCTTAGCAGGAATGCCAAGCTCTCTAGAATAACAATAAAAATAAGGCAGGGTTAGGCTTCACACTACCCCATGACACTTGCAACCTGCTCAAACACCTTCACCTGGGTTTGTTTTTTTGATGGGGATTTGTGATTTCATTGGTACAGAGCTTTCTCAGTATGAAATAATCCCTCCATGGATTTAATTGAACAATTTACCTTTAACTTTAATAGTCTTTATGGATTACATGGACGACAAGTTACATCAAGAAGTTGAAGGGACTTGTCTAGGGCCAAATAGCTAGTATGTGTCAGAGAAATGATTTGAATCCAAATCTTCCTGACTCCAAGGCCTGCTCACTATTCACCATAATGATGGTAGGTAACTTGGTACCTGCAAAATAAACTACATTTTCTGTCTAGCTTTTAGGACCCTTGACACCCACCATTTTATCTCTCATAACCCTTCAAAACATATTCTTTGCCATCGTCAACCCAGTTTTCCTTGCTGTGCACTGACATGCATAGAACTACTTCTGGACCTTAGCCAATCTTGTTCCCCCTGCTTGGAATGTCTCTTTACCATATTTTAAGGTCCAACTCCAAATCCTGTTTCCTCTTTGAAATCAACTATTCCAATTCACTGAGACCCACTTTGCCTTGAATTTCTAAAACACCTATTGTCTATATAACATAATCTAGCACTTTATTGGTCTCTACTTATTTCCTGAGCGGCTAGGTGGCACACTGGATAGAATGCCTGGTCCGGAGTCAAGAAGACTCATCTTCCTGAGTTCATATCTGGCCTCGAACACTTATTAGCTGTGTGAACCTGGGCAAATCACTTAACCCTGTTTGCCTCAGTTTCCTTATCTGTGAAATGAGCTGGAGAAGGAAATGGCAAAACACTACTATCTTTGCCAAGAAAACACCAAATGGGGCACAGAGTATCAGACACGACTGAAAATGATGACAATTTGTTTCCTTATGGATTTGGCCCCTCAAATAAATGTAGGGAGAGAAAAGATGCCCCCCAGAACCTTATATGACACACCATACCACTTAGCCTACCATTAACCTCAATGATGTGTTTAATGCTGATTGAAATGCTAGACTAGGAAGTAGACTATAAATACTACAACAGTATTTTTAAAAAGGGAAAAATCAGTGTATGCTTAGGCAGTTAGGGAAAGCTTCATAGAGGATACCTGATAGGAATGTACTGATGAATAACAACCTGTCTATAAGAGGTAAGTTAATTCAGTCATTTGGTGGTACTTGGGCATTATCCAAAGGTAATATTGTCTAAATGCCAGGGAATAATTGGCCAAGAATAGACTTGGCCTGATCACTGAAGAGGATGGGATGTCTCTTTGGGTACCTTCCATGCATTCCTACTCATTCACTACATAATCCCCTTCTCTACAGAGACTGCTGTGAACATTGGCTACTCTTGCAATATGCTAAGTGATGATATGAATGAGGTGTTCGTTATAGATGCCAAGGAGAGTAGTATGGTCCAGCAGCAACTCAGGTACTGACAGGAGGGCAGCCCCAGCTACTACCATCCTATGGCCAGGTCTTGGGTCAGCCTAGCTAATTGGCATTTAGGGGTTCTACCTTCCTCCTGTGTCTTCACTCAAATGTAGAGCCTGGGAAAGGCTCTCTGTCAGAAGAACCTTTTGACAGAAAGCAGATAAAAAACTGGGGAAGAGGGAGAAGCTGTTGAGGAATATGAAAGAGAAAATAGATATTACGACCTCTGGGGTCCCCTGGGTATTGAGAAAAAGAGGTGAAATGGGGGATTGGGAGGACCTACTACAAAGATTGGGGAAGTTTAACCATTTGCAAAGATATGAAGGGTTAGGGGACAGAATAGGAGAAAAAAATAGGTTCTTAGAAAGACATGAGAGGGAAGTTGGAGTGTTATGGAGACTAGTACAAAGGAAGGACTTTGAAAAAAATAGATACTGGTGGGCATGCATGGGTTTATGGTTGGCTTGGGTCCTAGGATCTTGAAGGAACTTTTGCCATTACAGAGAGAATATATAGACAGAGCAGTTCTGATCAATTATACTTGACTTTCAGGTCAGCAAGAAATAAAATGAAACCTGGCTCTTTACTGGGGACAGACCCAGTAACTGACCTCCTCACTCGAACAGAAATGAAGACCTTTATTGTGCCTAAAGAAGTGGCCAATGGTAGCTACGGCCTAGTCATCGATGGCCACAGTCTGGTGGGTAATGGGAAGCTGTAACCCCTTTCCTTTTCATTAAGGGAGCCCATTTAGGAACTTATTGCCATATACACACCTTTCTCTTTCACAAGTAATACCCCAAAGCAGAAGTAATTGAGAGAGCTTAGAATAGTTCCCTTTCTCTGAAAATACCCTCTCTCAGAGAACAGCTGAGAATTAGCTTCTTCCCATCTAAAATTTTTGCATCTACTGTAGTCCCCATGTCCTAGTTCTTCAGGTAGAATCTAATTCACCAGGTCCAGGAAGTATCTGTATCTGAGAACCAGTTCATTGGTTTCACCCTGAGTATGAGTCTGCAACATTTTTTAATATGGGTTGGATCAGAAATGAGGGAACACAGACCTGTCCTTGAGGCTTGTTCAATATTCAAAGGCTGATCAGAGATTTGGCTGTCACATTAAGAGTGTTTAATAAAGCGCCTTATGTATGGAGGCCTATCCTGTGGGGGACACAAAAAAAGTAAAGGCCAGGGGTTTATTGAGTAGCCTATTGAGTAAATGTGTGTATTTGGGGCCACAGGCTCATGCCCTTGAGGAGAACGTGGAGTTGGAACTGCTAAGGACAGCTTGTATGTGCAAATCAGTGATCTGTTGCCGTGTGACACCTCTGCAGAAGGCCCAAGTGGTAGAACTAGTGAAGAAATACAAGCATGTGGCAACACTAGCCATTGGTGATGGAGCAAATGATGTCAATATGATCAAAGGCAAGTTGGGGTCTGGGGAGTCAGGCTGCCCTTCCTTCCTTACCATTCTTCAGGTAGTACTAACATAGGAAGCAGTGACACCTTAGTTGAACTTTGAAGGCAGATAGGGAATCTAAAAGATAGAAATGGGGTTGGGGGGTGGGGGAGAGCGAGAGCATGGGGGCAAGCATGGCTTTCTTCACCTGGGGGATAGCCTGTGTGAATGCATGCGGGTGGAATGTGGAATGCCAAGTATGAGAAATAGCTAGCAATAAAACTTGAGAGGAATAATGTGAAATAAACTTGGAAAGAGAGGTTGAAGCCATATTGTGGGGGGCCTTGAAGACCAGCCTAGGAGGTTTATATTTTATCCCAAAAGCAGTAGGAAGTTTTTCAGGCAGCAAATGACATAGTCAAGTCTCTGCCTTTTAACTGACAAGACAGTGTAGAGCGGAAACAAACAGAAAAGTCGAACAATTCCTGTCAGGGAGAAAAAAATTAAGCTTCCCCAGAAACTGGTATTTCAATGCTTGTGATTAGAGGAAAATACCTACAAATATGTAAGGGAACTTAAAAGTTCCTTTAACTCATTTTCCATTGGGAAAAAATCTGCATAAAAAAAGAAAATCATCTGCAGGCATTAGATAAGCTTTTCTTCTATTATACTAGGGGTAATTTTATTTATGGCTTATTAAATAAACTTGACTTAGTAGGGGAGTCAAACCCTAATTTTTCTGACTGCCATGTCCAGCAGTCTATCCAGTATGTCACACCCTGTCAGCAGGTGGGCTGAGGGTACCTAGTGGGTTCAGGTGAGGGCTACATTATGCTTTTAGTACTCTTTCTCACCCTGAACCAGCCTAGGGCCCTGGAAATAGGTGCAGTAGCTAAAGAACTGCTTGGTTCTCATTGCAGCTGCCCACATTGGGGTGGGCATAAGTGGCCAGGAGGGGATGCAAGCCATGCTTGCCAGTGATTTCTCCTTTGCCCAGTTCCAGTTTCTGAAGCGCCTACTCTTGGTCCATGGTCGTTGGTCCTATATCCGGATGTGCAAATTCCTCCGCTATTTCTTCTACAAAAATTTTGCCTTCACATTGGTGCACTTCTGGTATGGCTTCTTCTCCGGCTTCTCTGCACAGGTAAGTCAGGCACCAATGTTACAGTACTCCCAGGCGTGCCTTCAACCAGATCAAGGCAAATGTTAATGTGGACTCTCTGACCTCTGGGCTTGACTTTCAGTTTAGTCACCAGTATCATTGCCATGGTCTACCCTAATTTCCTTACTCTCCCCTAATTACCTGTTCCTTACTGGAATCAATTTCCCTACATTTGAAGCTGAAATGTTTCTTAATCTAAAAATATCCAGAACCCAGAGAAGCCCCGATGAAGGCTCTGGGATAGTTCAAGCAGGGCTTGGTGGGGGATAGGTAGGAGAGAAAGGGTGCATTAGGCCATTCAGTCCACTGTTTTGCCCAGTCCTGGACTCGAATTTGTGAAAGCTCCATGTCCTGAAAAAGCTAAATCAGAGTATGGTGTTCTCACATCTTCATGACTATCAACAGGAACTTCACGACTCCTTGGAGGAGACCTGCTGAACTGACAGATCAGGAATGGCCTTAAGAGAGGGCTTAAAAGTCAGGCAGGGGCACCATACTTCTTGCCTTCCTAGTGGCAACTTCTCCCACCCCTTCCAAAGCTAGAGCTGGACGGCAATTTAAAAATGGTCCAGGAAGAAAGAGGAACTGGGTTAGCAACCATTTACGTGGCATAGATTGAATTTTGGAGCACTGGAAAAACAAGGGTCATATTGGGAGGGAAGGAGGGCTCTAAGTCTTTACTGCTAAAGATCTCCAAAAGCCTGTCTATCTTGCTCTCCCCTTCCCCCCAAAAGATAAGCCTCATAATCAGTATTCCTTTATTCCCAGATAGATAAAACCTTGGACACTTTCAGGAAAATCTATATGTAGTCTCCTAGTAGTTTTTGAGAAACCTGAAAGCCTGTCTGCCTTCTACCTTCAACATAGCTACCACCCAGGCAATGGGATAAAGCTCTCAGTTTGGGAAGGATCATAGTGTCTGGAAAGCTGGGGGCAAAAAAACCTAGATCAGGAATTTGGCTTTCTGCCCAGTTAAGATCTATGAAAGGCAGAACTGTGCTAAGGGTGTGGCCAATATAGCCAAGTCACACCCTAAAGATAGAAACATGCCCACCCACCCCACCTCCACCCAGGCTTTTAGGGAAAGGAGAACAGCCATATGAGATAAGTAAGGAGAGATTAGTCTGATTTCTGTCCTTGGTGTCTCTGCAGACCGTCTACGATGAGTGGTTCATAGCTTTCTACAACTTGATCTACACATCTCTCCCTGTCCTGGCCATGAGCCTCTTTGACCAGGTAAGATCCAGGCACAATCCCCAGGCAATACCAGGTCCTCTCAACCAAAGCCAGAACTAGGAAGGGGGAAGGGGTGGCTTTTCAGGTGAGTGAGGCTGAGCAAGGTCCATAGTAGCTCGAAATGAGCTTCTAAATAGTTGTGTAAACTGAATTTTTCTAAATTGAATTATTTTAAATGCAGTGCGTGAGCTGGAAAAACCTTAATGAATCTTTATAAAAAGAACAATTCTCCTATAAAGTAAGAATCACTACCCAGATGTATCTGTTATGTAAATCTAGGTTGCCTGAAAGTATAATACACAATTAGAAAGAAAGGTGGAAATTATGGCATATTGTAACTGAGTCCCTAAGTGCTGAGGGGATACAGTGTAGAAGACAAGTGAGGTTAACTAGGGAAGAGATTTCAGAGGGGAAGGATGTGGATTACTGAAGAGGAGAAGTGAAAAATATTCCAGGCTAGTTTAACCCATTCCATCTGCCTATAATTGTCCTACTCCCCAGAAGAGCATCAGAGTTTGGCTGGAGTAGAAAATCATGTAAGGAATATAAAGATGAGATGGTATGAGTCAGAGAAGGTTGAGTGAGAGACCTTGAAAAATAGTCTGAGAAATTTGTACTTGTTATAAGTAATGGAAAGTTACATCTTCTACCTTGGCCTGGAATTCCTCTCTGGAACAACTTGAAGGTCTGGAAATTCTAGTGTAAAGACTTTCAGAAGTAGCACCCCCCAACCCTGATCAACAGGGGCTGAATCAGAGTCTCTGTAAGAGAGTTACAACTCAAATATATACTGAGGCGTGTGGGGTGTGGGGAAAAGAGCACGAGACTTGGAATCCTCAGAGTACTGGGCTTGAATCCTGCCTTCTACACTTACTAGTCTTGTGACATTGGGAAAATCACCTCACCTCTGAGAGCGTCAGCTTCCTCATCCTCACATATATAGAATTCCTACCTATTATGAGGAAAATATTCTGCAAACTTGGAAGGCATTGTATAAATTGAAACTGAAGGAAGATTCCAGGGGACCTGGCACCCTAGGTCTTCATTAGCATATTACAGTGAAAAGGGTGCTGGATTCAGAGTCAAAAGAATTGGGTTCAAATCCCAACTCTTTTACTTTACCACTTATGTGATGCTGGGCCACAGTTTTCTCACCTGGACAGCTCTGAATCCTATGATCCTACATCAGTCTTAGGCTCCATTACCCTTATTCTTTGTTAGTCAGGACTAACCAGGGCTGAGGCTTTCATTGAACAGCCCCCAACTTACTGTCAACACTGACTCAGAAGTGTTTCCAGGAATAGCCTCATTCTATTCCTGCTAAGCCACTGAGATACTGGGGGTGGGGGTGGGGGGTTCAGCAGAAGGGAGGAGGACTATGATAAGTTGGCCTTTGAGGCAGTAGAAAGACCCACCATTTTATAGTTGTTGTTGTCCCCCTTCCCCCCTCCCCCCAAAGTGCCTTCACATACATTCCTTTATTTGAAGTACCTAACAACTCTCTGAGATAGACAAGAAAAGGAAACCAAGACTGAGAGGTGAAGGGATTTGTCCAATATCGTAACTAGTGATTAGAGAGGATTTTAGGCTAGAACCCAGAGCTTCAGTCTCCAGGGCAGGAGGCACTCCAGCTACTAAGACCATATTGCTTCATCCAGATAGATGAATGCAAAATCAGAGTGACATTTGGACCTGAGGGTGTACCACCTCTATTGTGGCCCTTCTCCCATCCTGACTCCCCTAACCCTGCTTTGATCTTCAGTATGACCTGAGGGCACAGGGCTTAAGGAGGGACTATGGGGACTTTTCTGTTTTCTTGTTCCTGCTTCTTCAGATTCTCCTTATGGAATAATTCCTAGTATCGTGATTTGAAGGAGCCTTCTGCCCTAGGGAGGCGTCTGACTCTGGAATGTAGATCCCTAGATCCTAGGTGGTAATATTCCTGAAGGTTGGGAGGGGAGGAGGAACCTCTCTTCAGCCCTGGAAGGTGAGCAGGAAAGATGCTTAGGGCCTGGAAGAGATCCTCAGAACGTGGTTTTCTTACTTCATGGCTCCAAACCCATGCTTCTAGGATGTGAATGACTTGTGGAGCCTTCGATTCCCTGAGCTCTATGAACCAGGCCAATGCAACCTCTACTTCAACAAGAAGGAATTTGTGAAGTGTATATTGTATGGCATCTACAGCTCCTTGGTGTTGTTCTTCATCACCTACGGATCTACTTACAACTCAGTGCAAAGCAATGGGAAGGACATCTCTGACTACCAGTCTTTTGCCCTGATAGTGCAGACCTCCCTGCTCGTGTTGGTGACTGTACAGGTGTGATGGGAGAGGTGGAGGTGGAAGGGAGGAAGGGAGACTTATAGGTAGGGGAGGGAGGGGTGCCAGCTGGGGGGAGGCTGATGGGGCAGGGGGCTGGCCTACAGCAAAGGAAGGAAAGGGGCTGACCCTCAGGTGGATGATTTTCAGATGGGCCTGGAGACAGCCTACTGGACAGCTGTGAACCAATTCTTCATTTGGAGCAGCTTGACCTTATACTTCAGCCTCATGTTCCTCCTTTACAGTGATGGCCTGTGTCTGCTCTTCCCTCACACGTTCAAATTCATGGGTGAGCCTGGGTAGAACTCAGGATGGGGCTTGGGACAGGCCTTAGGTCAAAGAAAAGGGATTTCATAGGGAAGGAGAGAGACTCAATGCTAATTGACTCCACTCCTTTGGGCTCCAGGGTCTCATTGTATTACAACCCCCCTCAAAATAGTTCTGAATCCTAGGCCAGCTCTTGTTCCTTTTCTCCAATGGACCCTAGAGCAGAGCTTCTTAAACTATGGGTCACGAACCCATATGGGGTGGCAAAAAATTTTAACAGTAAAAGGTTACTAAACACACAACAACCAAAAATTAATTAAAAATCAAAGGTGGCGCAATGGATAGAGCACTGGCCCTGGAGGCAGGAGGACCTGAGTTCAAATGTGACCTCAGACACATAACACTCACTAGCTGTGTGACCCTGGGCAAGTCACTTAACCCCAATCGCCTCACCCAAAAAAAAAAAAAAAGAAAGCAAACGTGTAATGAATCAGAGGTGGTTCTGGAAGCACTTGCCGTGTTGCATCAAAGCAACTTCACTGCAGCCTTGGTCTGAACACAAAGCATGTGCACTTTACACTGCACATGCCCGCCAACTAACACTGCCCAAAGGAAAAGGGGTTGCCAGTGGAAAAAGTTTAAGAAGCCCTGCCCTAGAGACTAGCCAGTTTATCACTTCTGTTGCTTCTGCTCAGTTTTTCCTCCTCTTAATCCCCCTGTAGAAAGGAATACAGTGCACCATTCCCTTCCCCTCCTTGAAGCAAGCACACTTGGAAGTTTTCTGAAGATGATATGGAGGGATAAAAATAGCAAACATAAAGTTACTTCATAGTACTTGTGATCTCATTGGTGTGGATACTCAAATCTGTAGGTGGAGATCACAACCCAGCCAAGTTTTTTTATCCTGTGTCTCTTGTATGTCTGCCCAAAAACCCTCCACAGCAGTCTACCCATGATGAAAGCCTTCCTTTAGATCTTGACATTGTAAGGATCACAACAGAGCACCAAAACTACCCATCAATTATCCCTCATTCATACTATATATTCAGCAACCCCCTTTTCCATCAATGAGGACTGTTAAAGAGTTACTAAGTTTCTCAAGAGTCTTAAGACCTAAATCATCCCTGGTACTCAAGGGAATGTAAATACCTTGTCCATTTTAGTTTCTATTTTTGCTCCTTCTCACTAACTCATTTTCCTCATTCTAGTCTTCTGCAAGAGCATAAACCCTGCCTCACCTCTTTATCATCTTTCTTTTCTTTTTTTTTTTAAACAGGCTTTTTTGGTTATTTGGGTTTTTTAAATATATTTACTTAATAATTTATTTTTCACCAATTAGATGCAAAAACAATTTTTAACATTCATTTTTAAAACTTTCAGTTCCAAATTCTCTCCCTTCTTCCCTCCCCACCTCCTCCACCCCCCCACCCCCATTGAGAAGGCAAGCAATTCAATATAGGTTATACATGTGTGATCATGCAAAACATATTCATAATAGTCATGTTGTATCACTTTTATTTTCATAGCTGATACTCCTGGGTTCTTCCTTCCTTCAATGAAGAAGTTGCAAGTCTCCCTGTCTTCTCTTTTGCACTATGTTTTGACAGGCAAGACAAAGGCAACCATAAGTGCTAATGGTGGGTTTATGAGTATACAGAATTCAGTTGAGATTCAATTTAGAGTATGAAGGAAACCTCAAGAATGTTTGTTTCCATCTTATGTCCCACAGAATAGTTATTCCCTGCCCTGACACTGGGTACAAATATTACCCATGGAGTACTGTCACTACCAGTATATTCCCTGTCCTCAACTTCTGCCCTCCCTTCCCAAGCACTTTGGTTCAGGCTCTGTGTGTGTGTGGGGTGGGGTTACAGGCACAGCTCGGAACACCCTGATCCTGCCCCAGGTGTGGCTAACAATTCTTCTCACTGTGGCTCTTTGTGCACTGCCCGTGATCGTATACAAATTCCTCCGGATGGAGTTTCAGCCCACCAAAGTTGAAAAGGTGAGCAAAAGAAGGGTAGGGAGGTGACAGATACGTTGGTACCCCAGGTCTCCATTTTATTTGCCATGCCCTCATCCCATAAAGGCCAGGTCTTTTATCCATTGACCCAGCAGGCACCTTGGTTCTACAGAATGTGGTAGGGCTCTAAGGCAAAAGTAACAGGATTGGGTTTTTTGTTTGTTTTTGTATTTTTCTCAATGAGAAGCCCAGACTGACTAGAATAGGAGCATATGTTGGCATATAGATCCCATTGTACTGTAGAGGTTTGAGTTTTCAAGGCACCCCTTCTCCTTCCTCATATATCCAACTCCCTCTAAAAGGCAGATTCAGATTCTAAGGCCCTAGAGCTGAACCTCTGGTTGAATGAAGCAGCATAATCTGGAACACCTGGCCTCCCTGTAGCTGGAAAAGGACAGCCCAGGGAAAGTTGCTTGGTTTAAAGACCAGGGGAAACATTGTATTTCAGATGTCTTTGTGGCCTCTGGTGCTCATGTTTCCCCAAGGCCCTTCTCTTCTCATCATCTTTGTCTCTTTGCGCACTATGTCCCTTCATGGCACATGGCTCTTGCGACCCATGCTTCATATAGCTTTTTCCTCTGTGACCGCCACCTGTGTCTACCTGAAGCCTGTGAGTCCCCTAACTATGGCCATAGTAGTTTAAGAGCATTTCATTGGGAAGTCAGTGGTCCTGACTTCAAATCTTGGCTCTGTTACTCATCCCGTAACCTCAGGCAAGTCAATTCCCCTTTCTGGGCCTCATCTTTATTGTTTGTTTGGGGTTTTTTTGTTTTTGTTTTTGTTTTTGTTTTTGTTTTGTTTTGTTTTTTGGGTTAGGCAATGGGGTTAAGTGACTTGCCCCGGGTTACACAGGGCCTCATCTTTAAACAAATGGATTGGACTAGGTAATGCCTAACGTGTTATGATCATAAGGTCATAGATTTAGAGATGGGAGAGACCTTGGAGATCAGCCAATACAACCCCCTCATTTGACATGAAAAAACTGAAGCCCAGAGGGATTAAGTGGCTTATTAATCAAAAGTGCAATGCCTGTGTCATACAAGTAGTAAGGAGAAGTATTTGAACTTGGGTCCTCTGACTATAAAAACATGATTCTTTTCATTGTATCACAATGCCTGACACCTGTAACCTGTGATTGATTTTTCCCTGTTACTTGTGTCTGTCCAACTGGTCTGTGCTGCCCTTGAGACCCAATTAGGGCTTCATGCTGCCTGTGAGCCCCTTTACTTATGAAAAACTCCTCTCTTTCCTGCCTTTCACCCTTGCTCTTGGACTCTACGTTCTCAATAAGATCTATGAACTCATGAAGAAACCAGAAACACCCCCAGCCCGGATGACATTGAGACGCGCAAGCTCCCGACGTTCAGCCTATGCCTTTGCCCACCAACAAGGATTTGGGGCACTCATCACTTCAGGAAAGAACGTGAAATCAAGGGCACCCTTTGGCTTTGGTGATAACTATTCTTTCCATACGTGAAAGATCCTGGGGGGGTCACCAGGACCCCCCCTAATTCTATGCACACACCTGATTTGGGGGGAAATATCACTCTGTAAGAAACCTGCCAACTGAAGAATCACCTTTCCCCTCAGTCCTTTCACTTCTCAGTGGTTAGGGAAGGGGGTTCTACACCATTCAACCCAAATGTCTGAGGTAGTGATCCAGGAAGGAGCAGCCTGATGAATCTTTGCCACCCCCACCCACACCCCCCCCCCCAAAAAACCAAAAACAAACACACACTTGAGGGAGAGGCATTGAGGAGTGTCAACTGTCAGGTTAAGTCCAGGCATGTTGATGCCACCCCTAGCCAAGCACAGAACTTTAGGAGGAGAGATGAAAAGTCTTAGTATGGGGCCTCTGAGAAGAAAGGGTGATACCCTGCTACTCTTAGGGATCTAATTGGTTTGTTCCCATCAAAAATGGCTACTTCAGCCTGAGGAGGGAAATTAAATACATCAAGAGCTCATTCGATATCCCCTACAGTCTCACAGTTAACATAACTCCCTTCCTCTTCTTCCAGTGATCCCTGCCCCACCTCCCTCCAGGTCCCATACCACCATAAACTCCTCTTTCCCCAAAACTCTGGTCTTCACTTTACTATAACCTCTCTCTGGGAATAACTTGAAGAATACTGTGGCACTAAGGGGCAAAGCCTGGCTTCTGGAGACCCACCGTATGGGCTAATGTGGCACTTTAGGATTTGTGTCTTGGGAGGGGATGTCATTTCATTTGGGGTGAATACCAGAAGAGATAGATGGCTCTTTGATCCCTTTTATCCTAAGGGTCCTGGGAATTGAGAATGTAGCTATTTTGGTAAGGTGACTGTTGAACTTTGGGCCACAGAGCTGGTTAGGATGGGGAGTGCCCTACCATGAAGCCATTTTCAAATCTATTTCTTGGGAGAGATGAGAGGTCAATCTTGGTTGTGCACTGTTGTCTTCAGTAAAATTATTTTCACGGGAAATTATATATATTTGAGTGAACGTTTATTGTTTAAATTCTCTATCTGGGAGTGGACAGGTCTATATGGCTTGGTGGGGCTAGAGTAATAGAGTGGGAAAGAAATCAGATTTGTCGTTGTCCCACAGCTTTACCTCATCCCCACTTCTTTCTCCTTGCCACTCTTCGCTTTCTCACTCTCTCTCGAGGTGCCGGGTGGGATATTTTTCATTTGGCTGCCACCCTCTTTCTTCTTCCCTGAAGACCCCAGGGGCTAATAAGCCAACTCTTTTCCATCCACCATATTGTCTTCAACCCCTATTCCTCTTTACCTGTTGCCCTTTTTAGAAAGTAAAAGGCAGCATCCCCACCTCTGTGGTACTCATTTCCTGGGCCTAGGAAAACGTACACAGTCCTGTGACATTTTCTAAAGGTTTTTACAGGTAACCCGCAGGAAACTGACATGGTAAAATAATGGAGAAACAGAAAGTAACAGTGAGAAGACTTCTAAAAAATCTTCCATTTCTTTACCCAAAGCACTCACTAATGAGTAAAGGGAGCTTTGCTTGACTTCACTGGGCTCCTTCACTCACTCATCTCTTAGTTTTTGTTTTCCAGGAGCCAGCTACATCTCAGCGTCTTGTAGTTTCACATAACAGAATCATCTCAGGGCACTCTCTGACACTGCCTCTAAATCCTTCTCAGCTCATGTCTGAGGTGTCCCCGACCCCATTCTGTCAATCTGATCGTACCTCTGTGTGTTCATCTCTTTCTATCCAAATATCTTTCTATGTATTTAACTTGTCTTTACTGAGCCTCTGCCTCTTTATCTCCTCTGCCAATCCTCCCTGGGCTGACTCCCCACCCTGAGACAGGGAAGCAGTTAGATCCTATATCTGGAAGCAAAAAAAAAAGATACGCAATGCCTTTGGTAATAAATATTCTCTCCATAAATGAAAAACCCTAAGATCTTTCTGTCGGTTTAATTATCAAATGGGAAGCTAGGGCAGAGTCACAAGGTGGGGCACAGGATAAAAGAAGAAAAGATTAGTCTGGAAGGAAAGGATTTGCAGTGAACTATATGGAAGCCCACAAGTCTGTTGACACAGGCCACAAAGCCCTAGTCCTCTGTGGGACACAGGCAGAAGAGACCATTTCATCTAGACAATCCATATATTTTAGGCAAACCAGCTAAAAAAAGACAAAGAAAGGACAAAGGGAGAAAGTGACCTTCCCAAGGGCCATAGCAAAAAAGGTTACAGAACGGCAGTGATGGAAATTAAGGCCTCAACCAGAAAACAGCTTTGGGGTCTATGTAGGGAAGAATTTCACCTGGTGTCTGGTAGAGTCAGGAGGGACTTGTCCAAGTCACAGCCAGTTAGTCTAGGGTGAGGAATCCCAAGAATGACCAGCATTGCTGCATGGCAACCCTTTCATCTCTTCCTGTGGCTGTTCCGCAGACCTTCTCTTCTTTCCTGAAGTAACCAATCCTACCTCCAACTCAAACTTTCCAACAACGGACATCCCTCAACTTCCCTCTTCTACTTTTCTCATCTTTTCAGTGGCCTCCCCAAACTTCTACTTCACTTTATTCTCAGCTCATCCCTTCATTTTTACCTTAAATATCATATCTTCCTGTCTCCTCTGTCACCTTGTTTCATCATCTTTTTCATGCATCTTCAATTTATCCTGCTCAGTGTCTTCTATCTTGGCCTACAATAATGATAACAATGAATAATGACTCATTTATAGAGAACTTCAAAGTTTCAAAGCACTTTCCTGACAAAAACACTGTGGAATAGGGATTAAATAAGCATACAGCCTTACAGGCTTCCCTTCATTTGCCACCTCCTCAAGCTCCTGTCCTCTCCTTCTTGTACTCCTTCATTGCCAAACTGCTAGAGGAAAAAGTAGTCCACCTTTACTTGCCTTCCCTTACTCAACACCCACATTCACTACTGAACCCCTTGCAATCTGGTTTTCATTTTTACCTCCCTAATGAAACCACTCTGTCCAAGATCACTAATAATCTCCTTATCACTAAATGGGTTTTTTCTGTCCTAATCCTCTTTGACCTCTCTGTGGCATTCAACAATGTGACCTGTTGTCTTTCTGGGCTTCTAGTTCTCTGATTTTCCTCCCTCTTCTCTGCCTAATCTTGCTGGGCCTTACCATACTCCAAGCCTTGAAGAAGCCTTCAGAACTGCTAGCAATGTAAGTAATATCAGATTGTAAACTCTGTTCTAATCCTTCTTCACTCTCTATCCTATCTTGGTGATCTCATCAGCTTCCTCAATTTAATTATCATTTCTATGCCTTTGGTGATCTCATATACTCCCTTCAATTTAATCATCATTTTATGCAAATGACTCCCAAATCTTTATCTCTACTCTCAAACTGTTCTCAAAATCCTGTTTCCAGCTACCTAAAGGATATTTCCTCTTGAATGTCTTTATGGCATCTCAAACTGACTATTTCTAAAACTGAAGACATCGTATTCTGCCTAAATACAACCCTTCTCCTCCATTTCTGTTAATGGCATCACTATATTTGCAATTTTCTAGGCTCATAAACTTATCAAACATTTTTGTTGTTTAGGCGTTTTTCAGTCTTGTCCAATTCTTTGTGACCCCTTTTGAGGGTTTTCTTGGCAAAGATACTGGAGTAGTTTGCCATTTCTGTCTCCAGCTCATTTGAGAGATAAAGAAACTGAGGCAAACAGGGTTAGGTGACTTGCCAGGGATCACATAGCTAATAAGTGTCTGAGGCCAGATTTGAACTCAGAAAGATTCTTCCTCACTCCAGACCCAGCACTCTATCCATTGTGTATCCTAGCTGCCTTTATCAAACATACAATCAGGAACTAAGACCTGATACTTCTAGTTTCTCCTCTTTATTTCCACTGGAAATAACCTAGTTTAGCTCTCACTTCTCGTCACCTAGAAAAATGTGATAGCCTCCCAATTGGTCTTCCTGCCCCCAATCTATCACTTCCATCCTTCATACTCCTGCCTAAATAATCTTTTGAATTCATTACTATGATCATGTCGCTCTTCTGTTCAAAAACCTTTAGCAGTTCCCCATTGCATATTAAATAAAATATAAATTCTTAACTGTGGCACATGAGACCATGAATATTGTTCCATCCTATCTAACCAGGCTTATCTCCTATTATTCCCCTTCACAGATATTTTCATTCTATGGGACTACTATGTCTCCCATCTCCATCCATTTGTTCACTCCACACCTCATATCTGTAATGAACTTTCCCTCAGTTTCATCTGCTGGAATCCTCCCCTTCCTAGAAGGCCCAACTCAGATGCTACATGTCTATGAAGCATTGTCTATGAAGTATTCCCTGCATATACCGAGGTGAAAATGTTTTCATCCTCCTCAAATTTGTATTTTGCCCAGACCTCTTCTTTGTACTTATCTCACTCTCCCTTGTATGATAGCTATTTGTGTATTTGCACCAAATAGCCCACCCCACCCCACCCATGAGATTGTAAGCTTTTTGAGAACAGGACCTATGTCAATCATATACATAACTTTGTATTTCCAGCACCTAGCAGAGTGCCTTTCACACTGAAAGTGCCTAATAAAAGCTGACTGAATTGAATTGAATTGAATTGGAGTGAACTGAATGACTGAGCTGGGCAATCACAGGGGGAAATTACTAACCTAAGCCTAAGACTTCTAGACCCTTAATTAAGGGTTGGAGAAGTATATTCCAAAGGCCTAAGCATCCTGGATAGCCAGATTCAAAGCAAGAAAACTCGAATTGAACTACCATCAATGCCAAGACTGGATAAGAGATTAAAGAGTCTTTAAAAGAACAGACCTAATGTCCTATAAGAAACCTGCAACATGCACTCAAGAAAGTATTTATTAATGGCTCAATGCCAACAATGACAGATGCCCATTATAGAGCCCCAGGGATCTATATTTGGTCCTTTGCTTTTAACACTTTTATCACTGACTTTTATAGAGGCATAGATGATATGCAATCTTGAAAATGACAGAAAGCTGAAGGGAGAACTAATAGATGGCAGATTCAGGATCCAAAAGCATCATGACATTGGACTGAATCTAATAAGATGAAATTCAAAATGTGAAGTTTTACACTTGGATATTCCACCCCACCCCAAATGGAATTCACAAGTATAAAATGGGAGAGGCATTGATAGATAGCAGTTCTGAAAAAGATCTGGAGATTTTAGTGATTCAGCCAAAAAAGATAATACAATCCTGGACTACAATAAGGGACAAGACTAGGGAAGTAATAGGTCTGTTATGCTCTGCCCTTATTTGACCTCCTCATCTGGAATATTGTTTTGTGTTCTGGGTACCATTATTTAATAAGGATGTTGATAAGCTGGAGAGTGTCCAGAGAGTAACCAGCATGGTGAAGGGCCTTAAGTCCATGACATACACTGATTAATTAAAATAATTAGGCATGTTTAGAATTAGAAAAGAAGACTAGACTCAGGAGGGATATGATAACTTTCTTTGAGTATAGGAAAGGCTATTATATGGAGGAGTAAGGATTGGATTAGTTCTGACTCACACCAGAACTATGTGGAAACCTCAAAGACGCAAATTTAGGTGTGATGTCAAGAAAAATTTCCTAACATTTAGGGTTGTCCAAAAGTAGAATGCAGTGCCTTAAGAGGTAGTGGTTCACCCTCCTTGAAGGTCTTCAAATAGAATCTGGATGACTACATGCCACATATGCTGTAGTGGAGATTCCTTTTGTGTATAGGTTGAACTAGCTGGCTGCTGAGATTTCTTCCAAATCTCAAATTCTCTGAATCTGTGAGACCTAGGAGAAATTACAAGAGTAAGAATCCAGCAGAAGGCACCTGACAAGCAAATCCCAGGCAGCATGGCACCATAGTAAAACAATTTGCCAAAATGAAGTGCTAAAGAAAGTAGCAATAATCCCTTGCTCTTTAGACCTAAGCTTTAATTAATGGCATCAAAC